AAAATCAATAGCAATAATTTAGTAGTTATTAGTAAATATTTAGTGCGAATAATTTATATGCATACGTAATTTTTTTATTAAAGTTAATGTGAAAACAATAATTGATCTAAATCTATTGATTAAAATTTTTAAAAAATTTCAATCAATTATTTTGTTTCTACTTAATTTATATTTATTTTTATTGATATGCTATCATAAAATTTGAAAAAATATTGGTCAATAAGATTAAAATGAAAGTTGGACTTTACAATAATCACGGTATCAATATTAATAATATAAATGCTAAATAAAATTTAATTATTTGGATGTACACTTTATTATATACATATAAATAAATCGCTATTTGAACTTTAAATATTTTATTTTTTTCATATATAGTTATGCAATATATGCAACTTAACTAAAAGTAAAAAATATTCTAAAGATTTCATTTCAATCATGGTAACATTTTTTTTTAAAATTGCCACAATTTTCGATTCACTAATCCACTACTCATGTAAACATCTTTTTGTTATAATATACGATTTTCTTTTTATCATTTTGAATCATTTTCTTATCACTTTTTTTATGAAACATATTTTTCATTTAAAAACCGTGATTTACATGTCCTCCGATTCATTTAGTTATTTTATATCTACAAATGATCGAATATCGTTGTCGTTTTTTTTTTAAACGTAATTATTTTTATAAATATGTTTTACAGAAGATACAACCAAAATTTCAAATCTCTGTTAAAACATAACAAAAACAAAATCGTTCTCATTTTTGGAATGAATTTGGCATAAAAAAATGAGAATGACTGACAAAAAAAAGATATACTCAAAATCCACACTTTAACTTTAAGGTAACAATTTTCCTTATACTCGATATAAAATTAAACTTCACCAAATAATCATATCTTTAGTATCTATCACAATATTACATATTTTCACTATAGTTTTATTTCATGGTGGTAACATTCCGAAAATCAACAAAAAAAATGAAGGAATGAGGTGTCTATGCAATTCATAATTATCAAGTGGAGAGCAATTTTGGTAAATATCGATTTACAAAAATTATTTTGCATGGAAAAACAAAGAGCTTTTTAATAATGTATGATTTTTTCATGATGATCATTTTACGATTACCTAACAAATGTTCTATGTATTATAACTTATTGGTTAATAGCCTTCAATTATAAATTTTACCAAAATAAATACAGCCCGTGCATCGCACGGGGTACGTACTAGTTATGTAAGTATGTTGAAACAATATGGCCTACTAACTTTTAGGGTATGTTTGGTTCAAAGAAAGGGATGGGAGGGAATGGAATTTAATGGAAGGGAGGGGAGGGGAGGGGAAGGGAGGGAAAATAATTTATCTTGTTTGGATGGATTCTGTAGGAGGGGAGGTGAAGGAAAATGATTAACCTTGTTTGGTTAGAAGATAGAAGGAGGGGGAAAATAATGTTAGAATGACAAATATATCCTTAATGATGTAAGGAACCAAAAAAAAAATAATAATTCACAGTAAGGTCAAAAGAGTAATTTGTTGTTAAAATTTTCCCTCCCATCCAAATTCCCTCACTTTTGGAGGGGAGCACATTTTCCCTTGGAGGGGGGAATTGAAGGGAAAATTTAAACCCTCTCCCTTACAAAAAGTTGAACCAAACAAGGGGAAATAAAATTTTCCCTCCCCTCCCTTCCCTCCCCTCCGTTTCCCCCCGAACCAAACATAGGCTTAGAATTGTCTAATAACAACGACAATGTTTTTAAAATTTAATAAACTATTGATAAAAAAACATATTTAATTAGTATTTTTTATGGAATAAAAAATTTGATTATATTAGTTTCTAACAATTATTAAAGAAAAATAAGCCTATGAATAACCTTTTTAAAAAAGAAAAACAATATTCAATGATTATTACTTTATTTTAAAATTGTGTATGTTATATTTAAAAGCAAAGCTTTTAACAAATCCATAAGATACAGTCGCCCCCAAATCGGTCCCTAACCCCAAATCCCCTCAACCCTAGTCGCCCAATTCGTGCAGTGTCGTCGCCCCCTTAACTGCGGTCCGGAGCCGTCGGCCGACGGCCTCCACCGCTCACTCAAGTCGGACCTTCGCTCGTCTCCATTCGTTGGTCCTGTTCCAGATTCGTGAGATTGACGAGGTGTCTTATCCCAAGTCGATCGAAGGTGTTTGACGGCGGTTGCGGTGGTTCGGGTTGCAGTGGCCGCGCTTGGTTGTGGTTTGGTCCGTCGAGTTGTCCCTCGCTGAGTCAGTGTCTCCTCGGTCTCACTCCTCTTCCCGTCATCTGTGGCTCTTCCTTCTGCACCGGTGAAGCAGTGCCTGGGAAGGCGAGCTTCCGTCCTCGATGATAGTCGGCGTCGTACGGTGGTAAGATTCTCTTTTGTTGCTTTGTCTCGGTTTCATTTGCTGCGACAGGTGGAGGGCTTATGGGGATTGGACTGATAAGATGGCTCTCTTGGTTGGGTCATTTGGACGATGTCTAGCATTGCAAGTAGAGCTGTAAACGAACCGAGCGTTCGCGAACAAAAGCTCGTTCGAGCTCGTTCGTGTTCGACAAAAGCTCGTTCGTTTATTAATCGAGTCGAGTTCGAACAGAAAATTAGGCTCGTTTAATAATCGAACGAACACGAGCTCGTTCGTGAACGTTCGATTATGTTCGCGAACACTAATTTAATATAATTTTATTTTATTTTATATATATTTATATAATATTTTTAATAAAAAATCTAAAATTTAATATAAATTTATTTATTTTTTATATATTCACATAATATTTTTAATAAAAAATATAAAATATAAAAATATTTTTATTTTGTTCTTTTATTTTCGAGTTCGAACGAGCTCGAACGAACAAATTTTGAGTTAATTAAACATATTTACAAAGTTTATGCATTAAATTATTCGAACACGAACGAACTCGAACTTTTACGAACAATTAAACGAACGAACTCGAACACGATTTTTTGCTCGAAAAATAAACGAACGAACACGAACACTGTTCGAATGTAAACGAACACGAGCTCG